CATAGATGAACAAAATTGGTTTAACAGTATAAATAATTCAAATAAATTGAAACAATATGTTAAATTCAAGTGTACTTTTGGAATTGAAGCTTATCTCTCAATGAATATAAAACCGTATTTTAAACTGTTAATGACATCTTTTCGTATATCAAATCATAACCTTGAAGTTGAAAAGGGGCGTAAAAACAATGTTAATTATAAAAATAGACTTTGTATTTGCCAAGATGGTAGTATCGAAGATGAGATTCATTTTCTTTTGTTTTGCAAGTTATATTCTGATTTAAGAAAAACATATCTCCCATCATATTATATTAATTTTCCAACAAATGAAAAATTTTATCAAATTATGTCATCAAAAAACAGTAATATAATTAGAAAAGTATGTTTATTTATTTATCATGCATTTAAGATAAAGGAAAACAAAGAAACACGGGTGTATTAATGAAATGTATTTAAAGTACGGTATTGTCACAGCACGCTTATTTAATTTGTAATAATTTTGTTTTACAAGGGGCCGGAGGCCTGGAGTTTGATGAATAAATTCCCTGTATGGGGGAGCATGAAATAGGACCGTTTACATCAAATTTATACGATTTGTAATCTGGACTCCGGATCCGGACCGATAAATCCTAGAGCCACTTGTATTCTGAAATCGTACTATTTTTTTCGTCGACCAATCAGCAACAAGCTTGGTTGGTTCGAACCAATCGAACGCACACATACTTAACCCAAACAACCGTGTTTCATGCGCGATGTGAACGCGTGGTTAAAAAAACGTAGCAACTCACAATTTTTGTCCGGGCTCCGGACCGGATCCGACTTGATGTGAATGTAGCTTTAGGCGAAGGCCTAAACATTTAAGTTATATCTAAACTGGGCTAGAAGAACGTACAAGTGGTACGAGGTATGCAAGAAGTTCGGGAATTCGTTCTCAGCTTCAGACAAAGTCAACGTAATTCCACATAGGAGACACCGATGTTAGCAGGATTTGGAAATAAAAATGATTAGCCTAAACTTATTGTCAGTTGATTTATAATTTTTTTTGTGCTAATTAAAAGATACCTTAAACAATGAACAGTGGTATAGCCGCAGACTGAGATACTTGGAGGTTGTGCATATTGCTGTGCATAAGAGGCTACGCTAGTGAATGGAGATCAGTGTTTAGAGGAGGTGGCAACAAAGCACCCTAGATCCTGAGTACCGGTTCTTTACGGTTATGTAGGCCACAGAAAATGGTGGGGACCAGTGTACAGAGGAAGCGCAAATAGCACCTAAAATCCGGAGTTCCTGTGTTGTTAGCAGTAGAACCCAGCCCACCCAGACCTACATAAACATGAGATAAGCAACTGAAAGTTGACAGCTGAGCCAATGCCTGGTATTTCAGTTCACCTCAATGATGACCATGTCCTGACAGGTTGAACTGGATTATGAGACAATGTCTGTATTGATGAGTACGAGAACTTGTACTGTACGAGGATATAGCTAACTGTATGAACGAGGGAAACTTGTAGACTTGTAAATTAAATACTAGGGGATCATAGTGGTACGTCATCAGGGATGACTAGCTATGGGAAGCCAGTTGAGATGTTGCTCCTGGGATATACCCATACGTGTGATGCAAGCTACGATGGAAACATAGTGGTATGTCATCAGGGATGACTAGCTATATGAAGACAGTTGAGACTTTCCTACTGTGATATTGGACCCATATAAGTTACGGATGGATCCTGGTATGTCGCATGGACGACTGTTACATTAGGCTATTTAGCCTTTTTCTCTTTGGATATCCAGTAGAGAGTACAGTGCATGTGTAGCAAGTGGAATTTATGGGCTTGACAACAGTAAGAGAGTAACAGGAGGAATTGCCCTTTTAGACTATATATGGCCCGATGGAAGCAGCACTAGCACTGTGTTAAGAGACAACAGTGGGCTGACTATAATGATACAACATGTTTCTTCACTCTCATATTTTGGTTTTAATTGTAAGTTTTTCAATCATTATTCCATTTGCCTTGTTTATAAGTTAATACAGATGTTTGGGATATCCTAGTTCTTGGACTAATGGATAAAATCCCAGTTTATATACTGAGGTACCTTGTTGATTCGTTCATCATTAAGATAGACTTATCCTATAGATATGGTACTGCTGCTGTGCAGTGATCTAGAGATTGCTTGGCTTTGTTACAAGTTTTATATGTTTAATTTTACAAATAATAAACTCATAAGTGGTGTTACTGTATCTCTGTCGATTATCCTGCGTCCATCCCAATATAGCAATCCGTTACAGTACTGTATTTAATGCTTTTTTGTATGTGATGCAAGATTTTATATTTTATGGATTTTATGAATTTTATTGTTTGTATACTGGAGTGTTTTCTCCTAAGGGAAGCGAAGAAGTTGAAATTGAAATTGAATTGAAATAACCTTCAAAGGATTCTAGTTTGTGAAACAAGTACCCCAGTTTTAATGATGTCAATAACGTAACTGAACCTGAGACCGGCTTAGTTCCTGTCAGCCTTGTCAATTGCAGCATCAATACCACCAGTGATACACCCACCACTGATGTAGAAGAAAATCATGTGAACTAATCCGCTAATAAATTAAAATTCAATATTGGATTAATCTTTTAATAAACAATGATGGACAATCTCACAGAGGTATAGTAGACCCTCTGTGTAGGCAATTTGCATATATTTGTTTTAATTATTTATTATCTCGCATTCATAGTAGACCCTCTGCATAGGCCAATTTGCATGTTGTTAATGTTTTAAATCTCGGAGGCATAGTAGATCCTTCGAATGGGACATCCTTTTGATTTTTAAGACTTTTGAAACTTCGTTATGTGAATTATTGTTTTCTGATTCAAAGGAAAAATCGAGCTAAGAGAGGGGTGGCAATGTAATGAAAATACCCCCTCCATTGTAACAGCTCTTTTTGGGCAAGAGGTTTAATTAATGGGACAGCCCGAATTACGGTGTCCATATATAAATGCTAGTCCGGGAATAAATCTTCCCCTTCTCCCTTGGCTACCAGCGCTACTGCTGCTGCCAAGGTGGGTTGGGCCTTCTCACCTTCTCGTGGTCCTTCCACGTGAAGAGGTGAGATGAAACGTATGTACTTGTACGTGAGACTAGTTAGGATAACAGTTACTGCATTTGTGGTATCTGGACTTGTAGTGTATTGGTTACTTCATTACTGTGAGTATAACCATTAAAAGATTCTGGCTCTCTGGATAGAGAATATAATGTAGTTTGTTATTCTGTTCTAGTTCTTTCATCTCTTAACAATCCATTAAGTCAACGGAATAACACTGTTTCCTTACCCACTGCCAAATCAAAGCTCGGATTAGGTTCAACAACGTTACAATATTTATTAATTTGAATTTTGTGTGTTTATGTACAAACATTCAATAAATATGCTTTCAATAATTATTTTCATGAAAGACTAAACTAGATCATAATGGTCCGAAACTATGGAATAATTAACCTCCTGATATAAAATGTGCCAACAGTGTGTATTCAAAAAGCATTATAAGATGTTTCTAATTAAGGCTGAAAATTCAATAACTTTCATGGAAATAAATAATTTAATGGTATAAAATTGTTCTTAATTAAAAAAAAAAAAAAAAAAAATGGGGAGGAGGATGACAACATACAATGACACAGGAGTGCGGAAAGTATTAATATTATATTATAGTATAAGTATAATATAGGAAACTAAGAAAAGTAACGCAACGTAATGTACCACGGTATAACTCAGGTTAAACCCCAGTTAAAGTGATCGTCGATTTCTTTAACACTTACAATTGCTGACAACTTCAATATCTTTGCTATTGACCTTTCAAGTCCAGTTTCGTAGAAATTTGCAAATCCAAAGTACTGTATGAGATTCGGTTGGTTCAGCTTTCAAAATTAGGATTGTTGGTTGCATTGTGTTGAATGCCAAAGGAAAGTCAATAAATTTGGGGCGGGCGCGATTCCCTGTTTTGTCGACATGTTTGTGTATTAGTTGCACTAGTTTTAAAAACATTATCAACCGATTTCTTTGCTTGGTAAGCGAACTGTAGAGGACGCGTGGAATAGGATAATGGTGGTAGTTAGTAGACGATTTGATATTAAACATTAAAAAGTATTCATTACTATTAATGAGGGCGATTGTTGATGGTCGTTTAGCACATGAGGGTGATTGTTGTTTAGCAAACCAGGTCTGGGTTTTTAGCGATAGTGACGATTTTGAATAATTTTTACCGTGATGGAATATGATGCGTGTCGTCCGAGTTTTGAAATATTATGGTGGATGGGGTAGCTAACTGAACGCACAAGCTTTAAGTAGTTTTCCACAGATATGATCTTGGCCACTTGCTTTCTATAGATTTAATTTGAGTAGTTGGTCCTGCAGTAAATGGTTAAAAAACTCAAATGGTAGCAATTGCAAGAGATTATTGTTGTTTTTGTCCTCAAGTGTAAGAGCACAACACTTGGTAGGTCTGTTGACGTGGGTTTTTTTTTTACATGAGTGACTGACAGTGAAGCACTAACTTATAGTACTTATCATTCAATGATTATAAAAGTACATATTTTAAGTGATCTGTTAAAATTTGATTTCTTCTTTCAGTTCCTAATAAAAAGAATGATGGTAATAATGGTTTAAGCACGGGAGTAATAGGTAAGTCCATAATTACCAAAATTCATCAATTTACTGAATTTTATTTTGTAAAGGTAAATTTTGAGTGTGCTGGAAGATGCTTTGAACATCATAGACGTAGAGAATCTGTGTAAACTGTGTTAATTATGCGATCTGTCATAAACTTGCAAAAAGTAGGCAGTCTATATTTACAACGCTTACTGTTTATTTTATACAGTATTAATTTCTCCACTACGCTCACTCTAGCCATTTGCCAATTCACCAATAGCGAATTGAGATACTGTTTGGCAAAAAAAAATGAAATCATTTGCCAAAAAATGGCGAAAGCAAATTTTTATATATAATAAATTTTTATATATTATACGTATCATAATAATAATAATAATAATAATAATAATTATAATAATAATAGGTCAATTTATAAGGCGCAAGTAAACAAGGTCTCTAAGCACTAAAATAATAATAATAAGAAATAATAATGACACACTTGAGTACTAGCCATTCGCCAATTCACCAATAGCGAATTGAGATACTGTTTGGCAAAAAAAAATGAAATCATTTGCCAAAAAATGGCGAAAGCAAATTTTTATATATAATAAATTTTTATATATTATACGTATCATAATAATAATAATAATAATAATAATAATAGGTCAATTTATAAGGCGCAAGTAAACAAGGTCTTTAAGCACTAAAATAATAATAATAAGAAATAATAATGACACACTTGTGTACTAGCGTACTTGTCAGTGCGTCCGACAATTGTGAGCTTGGACTCTCTAGAAAACCAGATTCTGGAATAATCCAACTGCCACAACAATTTCAACAAGAGGACACCTATGAAGGACCAGTTGAAGGTGAAATATCACTTGAAATACGAGGCACGCCCACCAATTGTAGACTGAAAAGCCTCCTAAGCAAGATCTACAACCTAGCCAATTACGCAAGTGCCTAAAATGGACCAAACAAAATGACCATAGACATTATAAAGTGCTATTATAAAGCCCTGGTGGAGTTTCAAACTACTTATAGAAAAGGCCTACATGAAAATTGGAAAAATATCTACCCTGAAACAGAGGGTTTGTGACCAACATGAATCATTGCTGATCGTGCAAAAAAAATCCAACATCGATGAGAAAAGTCATGGGTGAATTGAAACTCGGCTTGAAATAGATGCAATAAAATTTGAAGTCTGGATAAATCATCCTACAGCAGATACGTTACAAAATCCACTTGATCAAGAAGAAACACCATTAAACACATAAAAAATGACATCAACGATAAACTATACAAAACAATAACAATAACACTGAAGACAATAGAACAGCTGATTTTAGTGCTTCAACAAGACAAAGGCAACTCCGATTTCTTGTAGAAAACAACTTTCGAAACGGCCCAGATCCGGAAGTAACTAATTGAATTTCTATATCAGATCCGATATTAATATATTAACCAGATGCATGGGCACAAAATGTGCCCACTTGAGAACTACCCACAGTGATTTTACAGAGAAATTTGCGGAAACGTGGTACAAGTGAAAGATCCACCCTCATTAGAAAATATAGAACTTTTGGAGGGCTATTTTTGAAACGAGTACACAGAACAAATAAATGTTGAAGAGCAACCTCATATTGACCTCACGAACAAAGATATTGAGGACTCAATCAATAATTTCACTTCGGACTGGGCGGGACCTGGAATCGATAACCTGCAGATATATTGGTGGAAGAAATTTAAATTTACTCATCCCTGGCGTACAATGTTCTTTGAAGAAATAATATCAAATCCAGAACTCTCTCCTGAGTAGTTTATGAAAGGAAAGACCCATTTGATACCAAAGCAACAATCACAGTAATTTTAGACCTATCACATGCTTGCCAAAAGTATTAAGCTTTATCAAAGCCAAGAGACTAAAACAACACATTATTTGATAATGATTTAATGCCCAAAGAACAGAAAGGATGCTCCTCTTGTTCATTGGATGCGTTGATCAACTGCATGATCCTGGATGACGCAAAACAAGAAAAAAGAATCTTTCTTGTGCGTGGATCGACTACAAAAAGGCATATGATTCCGTACCCCACAACCCATTGAATGCCTAAAAAATACACAAGTTTGATCCCATTCTAGTCAACTACATACAGATGTCTATGGAGCAATGGAAAACAAGTCTCTCCCTCCGTCACCAGAGCGGAACAATCCAAACGGACACAACCAATGTCAATTGTGGACTATTTCAAGGAGACAGTCCATCTGGGGTGGAATTTTGCATCTGCCTGTTCCCGCTTAGCTGGCCATTACAACAAACTAGAATGGGGTATTACATTGGAAAGAGAAAATAGGAAAACCATCTTAATAATCATCTCTACATTGACGATTTGAAGATCTATGCTGCAAATGACAATCAGTTGACTAGCCTGTTAGAAACAGTTCACACATTTAGTTATGATATATTGGGATGCAATTTGGTCTAGATAAATACGCTAAAATTACTCTCTTGCAGACAAATGATATTGAGCTGTCCAACAAAGAACTGATTAAGGAACTTGACAAAAAAAGTTCATACAAGTATCTAGGAAAAAAGAGAGTCATAACATTCACCATGCAAATATGAAAGACAAACTCAACAGATTACTGTGTTAGACTAAAAAAAATTCTCCGATCTGAACAGTCAAAACAAAATAACCGCAATTAACACATTCGCTGTCCCTGCAATGGGTTTGGAGTGATTAAATGGTCCGATAGTAACGTTAACCAAGTTGATGTTAAAACTCGAAAAATTTTGGCGATGCACAATATGTTCCACAAGAAATCCAACACTACTAATATCTACCAAATCATGAAGGAGGACGTGGTCTGCTTATCTTTCAGCACCATAAACGGATGATAATAAATGTTCATCAATACATTACAAACTCTCCGACGTGTATCAACGCATTCATCAAAGGATGGGGCAAATGTAGATCCTACTTTTCAATTCAAAAGAAAGCAGGGAAATATGTCAGACCAATTTTAACCTTAATGTAAACGACCTTACCCAGATATCAAAATATTCATGTAAAACAAGCCGTTATCGCTCTCAGCAAACAAAAAGTTCTCCAGATGCCGCTCCATGGACAATCCATTAGACATCTTAATGAACCATTCGTTGATAGGAAAACTTCAGTGCAGTGGTTGGGACATTAAAAATTCAAGGGACCAACTGAAGCCACCATCCTATCAATTCAAGAACAGGCAATTAAAACAAGAGCAATTGAGAAGTCAATCTACAAGACCACTGAAAATGATTCCTGTCGCCTATGTAACGTCCACAAGGTGACAATGCACCACATAATTTCTGGATGTCCTAAGTTAGCACCATCACAATACCTGACACGCCACAATAATATAACTAGACTATAAAATAGGAATGCCTGTGCGCAACACTGGTACTAACATCATCCTAACCTCGTGGAAGAAAATGCCAATGCAAAGTTATTTTGGGACTTCACTATCCACACAGACAACAGAGTCAACATTCCCCACTTTTTTCTGACTTCTGACTGACTGAAAAATCAGTTCTACAACATATCAAACATTTTTTCCCTCCGGAGTCTGACTTTAAGAGATGAAATCAAATGGTGTTGAAAATGAAATCCTTATTATAATAATAATGATATAATGGCATTGTAGCATTCGTAGATTGTTTGTCACTGGTGCTGGGAACAGTCACAAAAGTGGGGGGAGCCAATGGCCCCCTGGCAAAACCTCCCGCCCCCACTTCCACCGCCGTTGCCTCTGTCACAAAATGCGCAGTGTGTTATTACATTTGTAGGTGTTTTCATATTTGTGGGTGAAACAACACCCACCAACCATAATTACATCCATCTGTTGTATAATGACACTTCATTGTATTTGTGTATGAACACATTTTTTAATTCTTTGATAATACATGTTTTATATTGAAGATCAATGTTGATGTGATTTTGGATTGTCTTACAGTTGCCATTGTATTTGGCGTACTTTGCAGTTTTGCACTTGTTTGTGTTGGTGTTGCCATTTATACTGGGAAAGGTAAGTTTGATGGTTGAATCATTAACACAGTTGAATAGATTTGAATAATGGTCAGTCCATGAGCTGCAAATATTTTACCCTCCTTTACCATCTTTAATTATTGTATGTTACGGAGGGGAGCAGCCACTGTGTTGAACACCTTATCCTTTGCCAAAATTCATCATACTTTTTTGTATTCAATAAGAGCATCTTCATTATTTTTACTCTGTCTAAGAGCCATTTTAAAATCTGATCTGTTAATCTTCATGGATTCAAATAGAGGGCCATACTAGTTTTTTCATTGTGGGCCTACATCAAGAAACACGCCCTTGCAATATTATGAAGACCCTTCACATTTTTGGACCATTCTGGTACACCATATTATAATTCATTAGATATGTAAAACATGGAAAGTGATCCAAGCCAATGCAGTCATAATTAATATAAACATGGCTGCTGTTGCAGTGGCGGCTCCTTATGATATATTTTCTGGGGGAAGTGCTAAGTTGTCTGAAGGGGGACTTGGGCTCGTAGGCTCGAACTGGAGGAAGGAGTTGAGAGGGGTTCCCCCACCCAAATGAGATTTTTTTTAAAGAATATCAACCTTTGGATGGCAGAAAATGGCACTCTCAGACTGTGACAGACATGTGTTGGCTTGACGCAGGGTTCCCGGAACGCCACCCAGAGCAGCGAGTGCAAAGCACAATAATAATAACAATAATGTTATATTTATATAGCGCATATTGCACATTGCCCCTATGCGCTTTACAAAGAAATATTATAGGCCAAACTGAGAAAATGCAAATATCAATAAAATTAAATTAAATTAAATTAATAATCATAATAACAATAATAACAATGAGACTAATACCGTAAACCTTAATTAATGGTTGGCCGTTGACTCTGAGGAGCTCATCCGCCCTTTGTTCAGCTATTGGTTTTTCTTGCTGCTAGGTGACCATAAACACCTTCCCCCTCAGCAGCCACTAAGACGCATCTGAGAGGGTTGTCAGTTTAGTCGCCGACTTTTCGACCAGATGGAGTTTAATGTCGTACCCAGGACGTCCCTAATGACCCAGGGCTGGAAATTAAGGATTATTTGGTCGCATTTGCGAAATGATGTTTTACGGTGCGACAATAAATTCAACTTTGTTGCGCTCAGTGCGACAAGGTCATTTGATAGCGTGAGCAGATTTTGTAAGCGGCAGGAAGGTGATTTCCCTCCAAATCCCAATTATTAATAACTTGTACAACCCATTATTTTCAGTCAGGCAGTAAGCAAATCATGCTATCATTCATTTTACATGTACTGTATCAACCAATCAGCATGACCTAGACTGTTAAAGTGTGATGTCGTACACTAAAACCGTGTCGATGTGCGCTCATCTTATTCTTGTTAAATAAACGATCTCCGTCAAAGCGAAGGAGTCTGGTATAAAAATATCGGATTGCAGGATTTTTTACTATTTTATTGAGTGCTACTCTTACCTCTACCTCCTCGCAATTGTGAACCTTTCCTTAACGTATTTGTTCATAAAATAGAATATGTACCGAAATTTCAAACGATCGTATACAGTATTTACTCATACGATGTAAACAGCCCAGCATCAAGCAATAATCAGAATTTAACACTAAATAGATCGTAAATAAATAAAATTAGGAATCATCTGGATGATTATATTTGAAGTGCTATTGGTATTAAGGCAGATATCTTTTATTGAAAACCAAACGAATTACCTAAATCTCATACATTATGAAATAAGATTACGCTACTTCAATCACATGCCCTGATGATAAAGGGTATATAGACTAGAAAAAAATGAGTTAGGGGGAGTGGAATGTTAGAAGCAATCCACATAGCCAGATATCCTAATTAATCCCTTCTGGTCACCCTAAGCCCTGTTGACACTTGATTTTACTCCTTGTATACAAATGGCGGCCATTTTGAAAAATGGCCGCCAAATTTATCTAAAATGTGCATAAAATTGAAACTAAATAAGCTACAGATATGATTTTGATGTCTAAGCTCATAATTTATAGACAGGCAACAAACTAGACATATAAAAACTGTCACTCAAGCCAGAATGGAACATAATTAAAAAATAGGTTTTTATTTGTCTAAAAATTATTGCAAAATATATTTACTTAAAATGTACATAAAATAAGAACGAGTTTTCTATGTAATCCAGATATATTTTTGTGCAAAAATATATTTTATTGACTAATTTTATCATTTTTACTTCGCTGAATTCAAAAAAGTTAGGTGCCATTTTTTTCTCAACGTCATCGGCCGCCATTTTGAATTTCAAAATGGCTGACGCACCACATAAAACATGGTCTTGATTGGTGTCAATGGAAAGGGAATTATACACTGATCATTTATTGTCATTACACCTAAACAACATTATACATATTTACAGCGATATAGACCAGTATATAAAGTCACATGACACAAAAGGTCACAAATTTAAACTTACCAAAAGTTGTCGTGTTTGGTATTATTTGAAAGCCAATGATGAGTTATGTTTTCCGGTATATACATATCAGAAACTGTAGTTGTTCATATATATCCGGTGTAGATGCAAATTAGGTATTATGTGTTTTTGAGTAGGAATTTGGCACGGTGTCTGCATTTTGAAAGGAGTTCGTGCCTTTTGTTCAAAGTAGATTGTTTGTCTGCATAAATTATATGAAACTTTTTTGCGTTGCATAGATTGCATCGCTTTGTTTTGGGTGAGTAGGATGAGGCTCTATACCGCATTTAAAACCCGATATACAAATTATAAGCACACATTCAATGCACCAAAACACAGAAACAGCACAGAACTTTCAAAGTTAATATGGAAACTAAAAGACAGCAAAACACAATACAATATCAAATGGTCCATTATTGATAGAGCCTCATCCTACTCACCCAATAATACCTAATTTGCATCTACACCAGCCCAACTCTACATATACACGTCAAATTTGAAATTCCCTCCACTCCTGAAGATTGCCTAGTGCATGAAACAGCCTGTAGAGTGAAATTACAAGTTCCTTATTATTAGTATTATTATTATTATACCGCTCTGCATAGCATCGAGCACTATACGTTGCCTGAACTGACAACTTTAAAGTATTATCAAACAATCATTTAATCAATCGTTTCAGGGTGGGTCCAGGAGACACGGGTCTATCCCAACCCCCAAAAAATAAAGAAGAAAGAGAGAAGAAAGACCAGAAAGAAGGGAGCATGACGTCACTGGATATATATATATTCAGTGTAAACACCAAGGATAACCCACAAAAGTCGGAAGAATACTTGTTTCCAGTGAGGTCCTTCTGGTGGTGATTGGGTACTACACCGGCAGTGGCCTAACGATGGGCCCGGGTCACTGTGGCTTTCTGAGACTGGGGGCTCCTTTTTGATCCGGTCACCACTTTGATTGTGGAAATTTAAATTTGCTCGTTTTTCTAATATTTGGCATTGTATTCTAGATTGCTTTTAACAACGAAATAAATTATATATCAGTTGCAGATTTAAGTATTCAAAATAGAGGGAATGTGGGTAGGGAGGGACTTTCACACACTATGCCACCTCAGCCCCAGCATGGTTGGGGCTAAGGTAAGATCATTTATGAATACGGCACCTCAAGGTGGCCGGAAATGGCACTCATAGATTTAAAATGCGAGTGTACTTTCCATTTTTAAAACAATTGGAAAATTTAAGGGGGCCCCAGGCCGATAGTGGCCCCAGGCCGACAGGGGCCCTCATTAAACCTTCACGGGATATACTATAATATATGTCTTGCAGTCGATCTCAGAGACACATTATGCTGTTATGTATCAACAAAGCCCTTTTGGGTAAGGGTGCCCGAGCAAGTACCTATGGGTTGGGGCACCTTCGGGCCCCTGGTGATGGGGGCCCTGCAGACCGCCTCATAAGAGTGCATAGTCGTTACACCACTGTACATCGGGAAACAATTTCCTACTCACTTCCAATTAGTATATTGCGTTATTTAACGTGCACTCAGGCCATAATGCACACTGGACCAACAGGTTAAATGTCTCATCCGAAAGACTGTGCACTATCGTAACTTGCATTTCAGCCCTCCAACTAAAATACAAGGCAGGGCAGTGATGGGAATTCAATACACCACCTCCCTAAAGCCCCTTCCAATTTCCATTTTAGAAAACTTAAAGAATTTATCCTCCAAAAGGCTGGAAAGGACTCTCTGCACAGGCAAATGCTTTGTTCATTTTTAAGTCAGTAATTAAAATAACTATAATAATCTCACTACAATAATAATAATAATAATAATAATAATTTTAATATTGGTTGCCTTTTTGCCCTTTAAACCTGTTTCCTTTTGCTGTTATTGTGATGTGGGTCTATTTGTTGAAAAATGTTTAAATGTTGATTGTTTAGATTTTTCTGCTTGAACCCTTTACTTTTGTAAAATTCAACACATTTTGAGTGATGAATAAAGAATGATTTGATTTTATTTGAATCGGAGACCTAGAGATCCCTAAGTTTTAGCGCACACAGAGGCTACCACCAGTTTAGGCAACTGAGCTAAGCTGCTCTGCTACCTGGTTATAAATCTAAAAGGTACCATTCCAATATTTAATAATAGGCTCTATTACAGTAACACTATTAAAATTCAGAGATAGACAAAAATTCACTTTCGCCATAATATATTGTACAGCAAGCCTACGACTTCTAGATCACTTTTTCTTCAGGTCATCTAATAGGCTTGAAAATATCTATATAAAGACGTTTGAGTAACAAAATTCATTGATTGTTTTTAATAAAGTGTCACTATAATTCCAAAAAATATGTTGCTCTGAAACATAAGGCCACTCTGAATAAAATGACCCGATCGTCCTTTAATGTCCAATTGATGATTTTGCAGGCGTTTATCATCCGAATATCCGAATTATTAGTAGGCCTTTAATGTATACATTATTTTAATCGATTTCAACATGCTGTGTATAATATTTAATAAAAGGCCTACTATGATGGATAACCATGTATTTTATTCTTTATTTACTGACATTTTTAAAGTCGGAGGCTGATTTTAAGGTGGGTAGTTATGCATCCGGGTCTCATACATTTTTGAAAAAATTAAAAGAAAATATTTGGTCAAAAGCGGTTGTATTATTAGATTGCACGGTAGTAGTAAGTAGGGGCCCATCGCCTTTCCGGGACTCATTTGGACATGAAGGAAGTAAGCGTTTCCCTAGAAAGCACACAGGCATTACATAACTGGTCAAACCTCCATAGTGAGGCATCCAGGGGCATAGTTGAAAGAACCCCTTCTAATAAATCTGCCAAATATTGTTTTTGTGGGATTTTGGTCTATTTGTTTTTTTCGGAAATTATAGAAAATGTTACGTATTGTTAAGGCGTTGTAGGAGAGTGCTGAGTGTCAGTGTTACTGTAAGTATAAGTAGTGGCCTCTCCAGGGCCCATTTAGACTCGGACTTCGCCCAGAAAGCACATGCGTTACTTAAGGCTTC